CCATCCCATTTGCCGCGCCAGCCAGGGCACTTCAATAAGAGCCGGAAGTAGGCAATGCACAGCAATTGATCAAATCATTTTTCAACCGCGAGTCATTTAGTTCAGTCTGTGCGTCAGAGGCGCTAGAGCAGTGTTTCCCAACCTTGGCCACTTGAAGATGTCTGGACTTCAACTCCCAGAATTCCCCACTCAGCATTCGCCAAAGTTGGGAAACTGCGCTAGAACTAGACCTTTGTCTTCCCCTCACTCTATGGTTTGTACTAGAGCGGATGCTGGAATTTCCGATTGCTGGACACGTCATATCCGGACCGTCCTGAGATGCCGGTAAGAAACGATTGTCCCGGGAAAAGGCGAGAGTTTGGGCTCCCTCCCTCGCGTCTTTCCCGGCACCAAGAGAGAGGACGAGAGAGAACAGCCGCGGGGGGAACGTTCTCGCGGCAGCGCGTCCATCCCCCCCCTTTCTCTTTTGGGGAACCCAGTCTTGGGAGAAGCCGCTCTTCCTTCGCTGGTCTTCGTGTTGTGGTAGAGGCCGCGGCCTTGCCGTAAGAGACCAGGCGCGACCGAAGGTTACTCTCTTGCCTCCCACCGCCCGCCGAGTTTACTTTGACCGTACGTACAGGTGGATTTGGCTCCTTTTGTGGACCGGCTTAGTAACTGACAGATGCCGCCAGGCGTTTTGCTGGGGGTTGAGTGGCGCGTCCTGTTTGGCAATCCCTAAACTGCGTCTTTGTAGGAATCGCCTAAAACTGCTCAGACAGAAAAGATCCAGGGCGTCACCTGCTTCGAAATCCCCGAGGGTAGTGGCGACCTATATAATTTGTCCGGGAAATGTCTTGTGCTTTGTAGAAAGAAAAGGTCAGACTATTTTCCCAAAGAGTTTATGGTCTGTCAGTGGTGGAAACCCATGAAACATAAGGCCATGAATAGAAAGGCCACAGATAAGTAAGCTTCAAACAAGCTTCGTTCATTTGTGGGAAAGGATTAAGGATACAGGGAGAAAGAAGAACTGAATGTGGGGTTTGTAGTAGATCATCAAAAATGTCATACTTCAGATTTAAAATAACAAAACGGTACCCCTCCCTTTCCAAACAACCTCGCTAATTATGTTGCTGAAATGAATAAACCTTGTACAAACAGGATTGGAAGAATTGTGAATAATTCTGGCATCTGAAATCTCAAAATTATTTAATTCCAAGTATGGGGTAGGTTTTTTTGTATCTGATTATTTTTAGTTCACCGAGTTTTAGTATTTAATAAAAGTATGTCCTGTACTGATTAAATCTGCCAAGGATTCTTTTAATAATTCTCTGGTTTATGAAAATAAATTGCTGGTGATATATGCTACCATTAGCAATCAAACTCAATCCTTTGTTCTCTTATCCAGTTACAATTTTATTTTGTGGTCCCGGTTTTAATGTCAGATCTGTAGATGTTATATGGAGTGCAATTAATTGTAATATAGTGAAAGGGGGCGGGGGAGAGGGAAACTAGATAAAGTGTGGTCATTACCATGGCACTTATAAGTGGCATGCTGCTGAGGCCATCTTAAGCCTTACAGTATTCTTTATTAGCAGTGACATGCATAGAACTTAACTGAAGATGGTTGGTAGTCCTTGAATAGTTTTAGTATAGTTTTAAATATAGAAAACTGTGATGCCATACTGACTGAGGCTTCTAACTATAAATTGGAAACAAGGGAGAATGAACTTTAGTATCTTAAAAGTTGTTTTTTAATGTTTGGTTTCCAGATTTTAGTTTCCAGAAAAACCTCTAATCCCTTAAGATGACTTTTGTAAATTAGATAGGAGCAAGTAAATATATTCAAAATCCTACAGTGAGCCATTGTATAGAAAATATTTATCTCCGGGAGTGAAAATTTTATCTGGATCTTGATTCTAGTTAAAAGTGTACAGTGTAGAAATAGATACAGTTTTATAATAAGAAAACTAGTGCAATTATGTAGAGTATAAATGTCAATGCTTTATAATTTATTATAATAATATAATGGAGTACTATATATCTTTTGTATAATTAGTTGATTTTCCTTTTCTTTTCAGGTTACATTGAATTACTCTCTGTTATCTTCTCTGTTTAGATGACCCTCACTAGCCTGTGAGGCTGGAATATGTGTATAAACACAGTATAAACTATTATGTTGATCTCCTAAACGTATGCCTTACCTAGATCTACTTTGGGAGTTGGAAACTTGAATCGATGTTATCAGATGAGTTAGAGTCTAAACCAGAGGTTAGCACCAAATTTGCATTTCTGGTCATTGATATACTTTACATGTTTGTACAGTGTTATACTCCATTATTCGACCAACTATATCTATAAAGTGTCATTTGAAAGTATGTTGTTATAAGAAGTCAGTAGAGAAGTACATTTACCAAGAAATAATCTCCAAAGAATATAATGGGAAAAATCCCTAAATAAATTTATGTAGAATTATATATCATATCTTTATTAGAAAGTTGCTCTTGGTGCCAGATGCAAACTACTTTTCTTTCCATGGGTTATTGTTTTTCTATAGAACTTGACTAATGAACTGGCATTTTGGCAAATTGTTGTATTAAGAGTTTCAGAAACTATTAACAGTATGTGTTGGGCTTTGTAGAAAGGAGCTTAAACTGCATACTGTAAAACATACATACTGGAGAGTAAAATGTTCAGTGCTGAAGGCAAGGTGTTAAAAATGTTGTATTATGAATTTTTCCTTAATATGTCTGAGGATAATATTTGGACCAGTTGTACTGAGAATTGAATTTTTCTTACTTTTTACAACTACTGCTGAGGAATTTTATAAGAAATAAAATGTCTTTTATAAGAAATAAAAGTAGGAAGTTAGTTGAAGGCAGGGACTTTAATTGTATTCTGTAGGATTTCTTTCAAAACAACACTAGTAAACATCTGGGTTCAACTTCTTATGTTTTGTCCAATTAAATATATTCACTATATAATTTAACACAGTGGTTCCCAAAGTGGGTGGTCCCACCCCCTGGGGGGCGGTGGGATAACTTAGGGGGGGTGCTAAGAGGCAAGGGGGATGGCAGAGGAGTGCTGGAGGTGGCCCCCTCACAGGGCGCAATTCAGGGCGCAGTTGATCACCAGTCAGCTGAGCACTTCCAGCAGGGGTGAAATTCAGCTGGTTCTGACCGGTTCTCCTGAACGGTAGGACAAATTATGGGCAGTTCGGAGAACCGGTAAAATGCACCACTGACTGGCTCCCTCCTCCCCTCCCACTCACTCCTTTTCATACCTCGCCTGCCTAGAGGCACAGGTGCTGCTGCTGCTGCTGCTCCCTGGTTCCCTCGCTTATCTCAATCACACAGCCCAGCAGAACTCTGCCCGGTGAGTCTTCCTTTGCTTCTATTCTAGCTACCTCCCCCACGCCCCAGCCAAGGTATCTATTCTTTTCCCAAACTATTTCCCTCCATCTGGGAAACCTTGCAGAGCTGAGCCTAGCATTCAGGGGAGGGGGGGCAGCAGAGCAGCCAGGAAGAGGGAAAAAAGTTTTTCTTTTTTGCCAAGCTTTAAGACTCCTGCTAAGTGACTTAAAACCAGACATTGGGAAACTGGTATCGCTTCATCAAGCCCATCCATCACATTAAGAATTTACTGAACAGTGTTACTGAGTTTACTAAGTTACTAGTTACTAAGGTTCTTGATAAATGACTATCAGACTTTGAAAACCTGGTATCACTGG